GTCGGCGGAAAAAAAAATGGAAAATAAACTCATGAACACGTAATAGCGTTAAAAAAATTGTTTTTTTGTTTTGTTTTTTTTTAAATAGAAATAAAAATATATAAGCATATTAAAATTGTTTTTTTTTTAAAAATAATATAAAATGTCGAGAAGTGCCTTACGTGCAATAGTCGTTTAAATGTTCTGGAAATCTCACCCTTCTTCCAGAACGCGTCGTTTTAAGTTTATTTTCGGATACTGTCGAAGTATCATCGTGTGTGTTGGTTGTCGGATGAGGTATTATAAGTGTCGGAGTCGTGTCGTTCGATTGTACCGAAGGAAAATCCACGTAGATAGGATTTCCTTCTAAATACGCTGCTTTTAAGCGATCGATACTGATGCTATCGTTGGTTCCGTTCTTATCGACTATATAGTACTTAGATTCACGTTGAAGAACTTTGAAGGGTCCTTCGTATGCTGATTCGAAGGGTCGTCGATGCGAGTCTCGACGAACGAAAACGTGTGTACTATATCGCAAGTCAGGTTGAACGAAAACATCAGTTGATTGAGGTCGAGTGGAAGCAGGTTTAACTGAACGCATTGCGTTTGTAAGCCTGTTCGTGTAGGAGGTTAGATCCATGTTCATTGAAGAGGATGAAGGATCCACGAATTCTCCTGGAAGTCGAAGTGTCGTTCCATAAACGAGTTGAGCCGCAGTGTATCCAATGTCAGCTTTCACTGCATTGCGGATACCTAGTAAGACGAGTGGAAGAGCGTCGGTCCACTGTGAAACGTTTGCAGCTGATAGCGAAACTTTCAGTTGTCGGTGAAAACGTTCTACCAACCCGTTTGCTTGTGGATGGTAGGCGGTCGTTCGGAAGCGAGTGATTCCTAAAAGAGTGGTCAGACGACGGAAAAGATCGGATTCAAACTGACGTCCGCGGTCTGTAGTAATGGTTGAAGGGCAGCCAAAGTTTGCTACCCATCGTTCGACGAAGGTGCGGGCCACTGTTTCAGCAGTGATGTCCTTGATAGGTACTGCTTCTGGCCATCGAGTGAAACGGTCTACGCAGGTTAAGAGATAAGAGTATCCATTTGAATGTGGTAAAGGTCCTACCAAATCCAGATGAACATGGTCGAAACGAGCATCGGGAGTTTTAAACGAGCCTAAGGGACATTTATTGTGTCTGATAACCTTAGATTTTTGGCAGCTTACACAGGAGCGTGCCCACTCCCTCACGTCTTTATTCATTCCAGGCCAGCAAAACCTTTCTGCTATAAGCTTGATGGTTGCACGAACACCTGGATGCGAAAGTTTGTGCAATGTGTTGAAGACATTGCGTCGATAATGTTTCGGCACGATTGGGCGATCCCTACCTGTAGATGTGTCACAAAGTAAGGTTTCCTTACCTGTTCCCATCTGTTTGATGCGTAGTTTAAGTGTTGTGGACGATAACTCGTGCTGAAGATCACTGTCTTCTTTTTGAAGCTCGGCGAGTTTAAGAAGGTCGATTCCTTGGAAACTGTTCAAGGAAGTTATACGAGATAAAGCGTCTGCAACTACATTGTTTGCTCCAGAGATGTGTTGAATATCTGAAGTAAACTGCGAAATGTAGTCCAGTTGTCGAGACTCACGTGGAGAGTACTTGTCAGAAGGAGAGCTTAACGAGAAAGTGAGCGGTTTATGGTTCGTGAAAAGAGTGAATTCACGACCTTCGATGTAGTGTTGGAAATGCCGTACAGCACAATACATAGCTAGGAGTTCCCTACCGAATGTGCTGTACCTGGATTCGGTGTCTAGCAACCTTCTAGAGAAAAATGCCAAGGGTTGCCAGGAGTTGTTAACCCATTGTTGTAAGACTCCTCCGATTGCCGAGTCGGATGCGTCTACTGCGATGCTAATGGGTGCTCGGGTGTCCTGATGTGCGAGCATCGTTGCTTTAGCAATCAGTTCCTTAACTGTGGATAATGCTTTTCGTGCGGTGTCGTCCAAATTAATGGATTTCGCATTTCCACGAAGTTGGTCGGTCAGAGGTTTCATAAGTAACGCGCATTTCGGTATGAAACGTCTATAGAAACTTACCAGGCCGTTAAACGTGCGTAATTGCTTGACGGTGGTCGGTTCTGGGTAATCCAGAATGGCCGCCACTTTGGTCCTAAGAGGTCGAATGCCTTGAGCATCGATAGTGTGTCCTAGGAAGTCTAACGAGTCGGTTCCGAATTGGCATTTCTGAACGTTTACAGTTATGCCATGTTTTTGAAGTCGTTCGAAAACAAGATCCAGATGCTTGAGATGTGTTTCTCTGTCCGGACTTGCGATTAGACAGTCGTCAACATACGCGTGTACGAAGTTGAGACCTCGAAAAACGTCGTTTATGAATCTTTGGAATGTTTGAGCAGCATTCCTTAGACCGAAAGGCATTCGCAAAAATTCATAGAGTCCGAAAGGAGTTATGATAGCTGTTTTCGGTATGTCGCCAGTAGCCATAGGGATTTGGTTATACGCTTTAACCAAGTCGATTTTCGAAGAGACATTCGTACCTTTCAAGGTAGCTGTCAAATCCTGAATGTGAGGCAACGGGTAACGATCGGGAATGGTTTTCGCGTTCAATCGCCGATAGTCACCAGTTGGACGCCAATCGTTGCTGTCCCTTTTAGGGACCATGTGCAACGGAGATGCATATGGGCTACTTGACGGTCGTATGATTCCTAAGTCCATCATGTGATCGAATTTGTTTTTCGCTAACCTTAGCTTTTCAGGAGCTAGTCGTCGTGCTTTAGAGAATACAGGTGGTCCTGTAGTCGTGATGTGATGTGTAACATTGCTGGTTACACACGGTAGTTTCGGTTGAGTTTGTTGTATCCCAGGGTACTTATCGAGTAGTGGTTGATAGAGTGGGTCTATCATATGTTTAACTGTGACTGGGGATACTCTACAACCAGTAAAGGAAGTTACGCAAACGGACAAATTGGTGTTTCCGTCTACTAGCCTCCGTTTGCGAGTGTCGATGATCAAATTGTGATGTTGTAGAAGGTCCATACCAATGATTGGCATAGAAACATCTGCAATAAGGAAAATCCAGTGGATGGGTTTGCGTAAACCCACGTTAAGGTAAACGTACCTTTTGCCATACGTAGCGATCGGTTTTCCGTTTGCCGCCTGTAAGTTTAGGGTCGATTCGTGTAGTCGGTCGTTAGGATTTGCTGGGAGAACGCTAACTTCTGCGCCAGTGTCGACGAGGTAGCGAACTCTCGTTGTCACATCTGTGACGAATAACAGACGGCTATGTTCGCCGGCTACGGTTGCCGTTAACGCGTGCCGGCTTGGAAGTTTCCCGAATTGTTTTTCGAATCAGTCGGTTTCGTGTTGGGAAAATTGCAGGGTTTTCTGCAATTTCTGGAAAACTTTCCATACTGGTTATGATACCAGCACCAGTCGGGGTTATCTGTCTCTCGTGGTCTAGAGACAGATCGCTTACGAGAAATGCTTCTACGTGGGGTGCGCGATCTCTTACGGTCGGTACGAAGACTAAGATAACGCGTGAGTGTGTGACATAAGTCGTTTATATCATTCTGAGTCGTGTGAGGTTTTTCTTTGACTGAAAATACCTCGGTAGTAGATTTCGTAATTTCTAGAATGCGGTCGGCAGATGCAACTAGTTCGTCTAAGGCATTGTTCTGGAACGAGACCAGAACTGCTTGCACCTGTTGGGGAAGTTTTGACAAGAAGAGTTGTTTGAATAGGCCTTCGTCGAAAGTTCTTGGGCCTATTACCTCTCTCATCCGTTGCAACATGTCCGTCGCAGAACCGTGTTGCAGGTCGATATTGTTGAAGAGTTGATCTAACCTTTGTCGATCGGTTAGGTCTCCTCGTTTAAGAATCGAGCGTTTTAAGATTTCGTAAGGATCGGAAACATCACTAGTAAACATACTAGGTGTTACGTACCTGTTGAATTCGCGCGGTAGTGCCTTGACTACTGCGAGGAATTGCGCACGTGTGTCGATCACGCCGTGCTCGGAGAAGTCGGCTTCTGCGTAGCAAAACCAGGCTTTGATGTTGTCGGGCCAGAAAGGCATCAGTTGAAACGAAGGCGGGGACAAAGTCTTAAGCTTGAGTACTTTAGGTGTCTGTTCAGTCATGATGAAGTATGAAGTACGATAATGAACGAGGGGAAAATATATATATCCAGGAAAAAACACGAAAAAAAATCACAATGTTTAAAAAATAAGAAATAAGGCAATGATATATAAAAAAATCGCCAAAAGGAACAGACTCACAGTTGCAATTAGGTGTACCAGATCACGTCGGTTTCACCAATGATGATGTCACAGGTATTCAGTGTTTGACAACGCTTCTACCAGTAACACCTTCTAATATATTTCGTTCCCGCCCAGAGAAATCAAAAGACAGAGTCGAGGAGATCGGAAGAGTATATTTGGCGATGACCAATATATCGGAATTCTCTGATCTAATCTGGCTAGCGATTGCGGTTGATGTTGAGCACGGCGTTACCACACGTGATCTGGTGCGGATGCCTGACCGAGCGCCTTCAGCTAGGTGAGTCCACTAAAACATATGGTCAGCATCCAATGTCGAAAACTTAGTGCTATTTATTTTGGGGATTTATTTACCGCTACAACCTACTTAAGCTTAGTTCGAATAATAACCTAAGGGGTAACACCCAGAAACTGGAAACACAACATAGCAAGACGGAATGTAGACACAACTTCTACTCCTTAAGAGTTGTCAAAAGCTGGAATTCGCTGCCGGCCGAGCTAGTTCAAGCGACTTCTCAGGAGTCCTTCAAGAGGCAACTTGACCTATTCTTAAGGACCAAGGACAGCATCACACTATGATTTACCAATTTCTTTTCCTCTTTTATTGTTAACATACCTAGGTTCCTGCCTGGAGGAATTCGTGATCCCCTGCTACTAGACACGGAAGCCTGTTAAGCGAAAGCTTCTTCTATTCCGTCCACAACCATTTGAACCATTTGAACCATTTGAAGTGGTATCAGCCCCATCAGTGGATATTTTCAAGGAGAAGCTGAACTTTCACTGGCAGGCAATCTGACAGGTTTAAAACAGGTTCGCTAATCTACTATCCTTATTGCTGAAGACTGAAAACTGAATTTCTTACTAAAATTTTTAGCAACCCAACATTTGACCATTTAATTGAGAGCCCGTCTGTCCAAACTTTTTCTGAACGGCGCACACGTGAATTAAAGAATGACGTTATCGACTATTTCGGATGAAGCAGAAGCATTAAAAGAAGAAGCTAACAAATTTTTCAAAGGTAATGCATAGACAGACCTCACACTTACAAATATGGACACGTGTTTAACGGTATTTTTCGACTAATAGATGGGGACTATGAAAAAGCCATCGATGCATACACGAAGGCGATAGAAATTCGGGAGACTGCTGTTTATTTGGCCAACAGGAGCCTAGCTTATCTTCGTACAGAGTGTTTTGGCTATGCCTTGGATGATGCTTCTAAAGCTATATCTTTGGATAGTTCTTATGTGAAGGTTTGTCATTTTAATCTTTTTATTTGTCCAGGGTTATTATCGCAGGGCATCTGCACATATGGCATTAGGTCAGTATAAGGAGGCATTAGCAGACTACGAAACTGTAAGTACATAAGTTTTCCTATTAACCTGATATCTGGACATTTAACAGTGATGTATTTAAGCTTTGCCGTTTAATACCGAATGAGTTGAACTAAACACGAAGTATAGCAATGATGGAAGATTCACCAATACGTATAATGTCACTCCACACACTTTGTCTGATATCACACGTATTCTGAAAATCCCAATTGTTTGCTTAATTATGTCTTTAAATCATCAACATTTGATGTGGCATTCCATACAGAATCTTCCAAAATTTAAAGATAAAACCAACCTGTGTGCTACTCATCTCGAAGGGCCCTGTTTGTGTTTTGTTTTTATACTTTCGATTGGACTCAGCAACCTCTTCCCTCCACAATAAGTCCTGGAAGGTAGTGCAAGGATCTTCTCTACTATTATACAGCCAATTTCTAACCTGCGAATTTTCTTACCAGTTTACAAAAAAAAAATATCTGTCGAACTCTTAGCTATCTCTCAGTATTCAATGTATCACGACTAAGTTTCTTCGGTTTAGTGATGTAAAGAGATATAAAAGTTTTGAAGATGTTTAAAGCATAGAATTCTGCCTGTGGCTCAGTATCTCTCAATGATCCTTGACAAAGTCACTAAAGTCCGGACATTAATATCCGTTTTGGTACGCGTCATATCTATTCATGTCTTAGTTTGAAGCAGCAACGGTAAGGTAAAAATAAAGGCGTTTCTTTGTCACTAAACTTCGAAGTGTTTCGGATATCTTATCAATACTTTGTTCTACTGCATTAGTCTTCACGTTAGTCACATAGTTTGATGTATCCTTTATGTTGCAGCCGATAACTCCTGTAGTTGGTTCCTATAAAAGTAGCATAAATTGGTTGGATAAAATGACATAGATTCATCCTCATACCAAGGTGTTGCAAGTGGAGATTTTAAACTAAGCGGAGAATTTTCTGTCCACAGTGGTATTTCTTTTGTTTGGATTTTCAAGATATGCGATCACGTGGATCTTGTATGGATATCTTATAACATGGAATAAACTGCTGCGCTGCACACTGACAAAGTATTTTGTCACTAATTATTTCCATGTTGAATATAAATTTAATGCCATAATTTATAAACTATTACCGTAGTCTGATTTGCAATATATTTTATGTCTGTTTAAATAGCATAGGGATATACCATTACGTACATAAATCATTTACATCGTGACTTATGAAAATTATTTTGTAAGGACATAATCGTACTTTTGCTGTAACTGTTTGTGACAAGCTACTTTTAAAGCAATTTAACCTCAGTAAAATAGCGATTTACTTAATTAAATTGATTCTAACTATAAAGTTTCAATTTCCACCTGGTCTAGCTTTGAAAACCAATAACATCTGGTGTTTATATGTCGAGTTATTAATAATGTCCGCTTTACTATTATCTGCTAATATAAGGTTTCATCTCAACTAGGTTATTCGAGTTGCACCTAGTGACAAAATGGCTCGTGAGAAGTTGACTGAATGCCGGAAAATAATTCGTCGCAAAGCATTTGAAAAAGCCATTGCAGTAGAAGATCAGCCATCCCCATTAGAATCTTTTGATCTGTCAACAATTACCGTAGAATCTAGTTACGATGGTCCGCACTTAGAACAAGATAGCAATGGAAAATACTTTGTCACTGAGTCGTTTATGTTGGCTTTAATGGAGCACTACAAATCTCAGAAAGTATTACACAAGAAATATGCCATTATAGTAAGTTGACATTTTTGACCAATTTAGCAGTTTAACAGCGATATGCCCATTCCATATTCTAAATAAAGTAATTGCCAATTTACTATAATTTGAATCAAACAACTCGCAACTTTATCATTTTCCACAAAAATGCGCTAGCTTAACTGGATATTTATACTTTCCTGAGTGAATTTCAAATTATATTTAAGTTGGATCTCAGTTAATATTGTGGCTTTTGTTATGAATGCAAGTCGATTGATATCCAGAAGAGCTATTCACTAATAAGTCTCGTAATGTTCCCCTACCACTTCTCCGCTTTTTGCAATCGGTCCTAGCGTCACCAAATAATGCATGACGTGGGATTCTCTGGGGCGACATTCATAAAATACATATCCAAGCCACTGAAGTCGATGTTTCAAGATAGTGACACTAATTGAATTATCGCCGCTGTGCCCGAACACACGATGTCGAACCTCTGCATTAATAACAACGTTGCCACTGGATGTCAGCAATCCTTCGGAGACAACGATGACCAGACACACAGTCGTCAACATCAACTCGGAGAGGCCAGGTTTCACAAGCATAGAACAAAACTGCTCTTACCGACGCGTTGTAGATCCGACCTTTTACAGCCGGACTAACATCACGAAGCCGCCAAAGATGGCCCAGATTGGCATAAACTTCTCTGGCTTTCATTATACGTGAATTTATCTCATCATTCAAACTATCAACAGCACTTACACAGCTAATTAGATACACGAACGTCTCAACTACTTGTATCCGCTCACTACCCAGGGTGAGTGCAGGATTATGGTCCTGCCAGTTTTGTGAAAGTACTTTGCATTTCGAAGGTGCAAAGCACATACCTTACCTACGGATACTGATTGCCAACTGATTTAGTGCGGATTGCATGACTTGAGTATCATCACACAGTAAAATAGTGTCATCTGCATACTCAATGTTGAAACGTCTTTCTTCAGGCAACAGATCTGCACCATCATTACCTACATCCGTCAGAGCTATTCCCAGAACGTCATCAATGGCAAAGTTGGAGAGCAATGGTGAGATTTAGCAACCCCACTGCTTGAATGGAACAGTGGAGAGAGATGGTTCTATGCCCTCACTCTGCCTGGGGTATTTGTATATAGGGCTTTTGAGATATCATTAAACTTCTCATGCACATCCTACTTCAATAGACAATACCAGTGAACCAGCCTGCACATTTCGAAACAATCTTTCTTGGATTTTGAACAATCTACGAAGTATGACGGAATCCAATAGTTTGGACGCAATCGAAAGTGGACGTATCCTCCGACAGTTGTTACAGAAACGACATGAACCCTTTCTAAGGATAATAACAACTATCGACTCATTCCATGATGTTGGAACACTCCCTAATTGCCAGACCATTCTAAAAACTTAGTTAGTTCCCTAACCGGAAAGTCACCACCATCTTTACAAAGGACCGAAGCTAAGTCATCTGAGCCTGGTGAATTGTAGCGCTTCAAGAATCGGAGTTCCTTGCGGACTTCTGCCTCGTTAGGTGGATCAGTCGTCACAGGCCATGGAGAGCAGGACAGTGATCGATGTTGCCGGGGCAGCAGACCAGTTGAACTGGTACTCGTCCAAGACATCGGTTGGTGTTAATGATTGGCATCTCGTCATCTTCATAGATTGTTTCGCTCACATCAGACTTCTCGCTGCCAGTGACTCGGATGAGTTGAAAGAGCTCCCAGCAGTTACCGGATGCAACTGCTGTTTCTAACTCAGTGGCACGCTGCGACTACCAGGCTTCTCGGTCCCTACGCAAGCTTTGCACAATCTCATTACGTAACACTCCTCGTTTATGATCAAACTCACAGCCATCCGGAGTAGACTGACGTACTTCAGTGATTTGTAAGGACGCTGTAGAAACCCTGTGCCTATAAGTGGGACGTTTCGCGGAGCCGCATGCAACTTTACTCGCCATTTTCATGGCGTCATGCAAGTGCATTCAACGCTCATCTATACTTTTTGGTGGATGGTAGCTAGCCTTGAACCCAGTTGGCTTTGACATTTATTTGCAATAGAAGCTGCAACCAATTGGCTGATATCGATCCGTTTGGGACGATAAATTTGTTGGCCGCTAAAACGTAAGATAAAATTGACGTAAACAAGGGCATGATCAGAGTTCAGATAGATACTCCACAAGGAGTGGCAGTCTTGTACACAGCCACACCAGTGGTAGGTGATCGCGATGCGATCAATCTGAGTTCAGGTTTGAGATGCACAAGGAGGACGTCAGATGACGCATGGGCGATGACTGTAGTGGTAGGTAGTGCGAGCTGGAAACAGGTTATAGTCTGCACAAAGTTATGGTAGGTGGTCACCGTTATCCAACCTGCGACAAACAAGCCCTTATCGGCCACCTAAACTATTCTCTTTTGTACCTAGACACCTGACCTAAGCATCCAAGACTCCGGCTAGTACTACAATATCTGTCGTACACACTTTCTGCAGAAGAACTGTTAAATGGTGGTAGAACTCATCCTTGATCGCATCCGGGCTGCAATCTGTCAGAGCAAATGTGTAGATGGCGAAAAGATATCTTTTTTCACACCGATTCTTTTCGCACTTTGATGTAGCTTTCTAACGTAACAGCACATAACAGACTGTTGATGGAGATCCAGTCGGTCACTGCTACACCAGCTCTTGTGCTTAGTGCAACATCAATGCTAGGAAAATCAGACAAAGATGCCACAGGGTCCCCAGATAAACGTACGTGAGTCAAGCTTTTTGAAGCGACAGATGGAGAGCGAATTTGTAGTACTTCACTAGATTCTTGAATATGGTTCACGGACGGACAACAGACATCGATGCTGAGACTTTCTAAAGAAATACTCCCCTTATCTGTTGTCTGATCTGGGTTAAAGTGCGAATGTTGGAAGAGACCAGTTTTGAATGGTGTATGTGGTTTTAGAAAGACTGCTCCAGGATTCATAGTCGGTGATAGCATCCAACTTTCTTCGACCAGTCAGTGATTCAAGATCGTTTAGATAGGACATGGTTTTCGCCATAGGCAAGCTGCTGTAATGTTGAAAAATAAAAAATAAAATAAGATACGCAAAATAATAATAAAGAGGAATGGATAAGTGTCGTAGCATAAATGAAATATAAACGAATGTTATCGTATGATTGTGAATATGATTTTTCTTAGCGAGCATTAAAATCTTTTCAGCAGTTGTTATCATTGTTTTGTATGGGGGCTATGATACTGTCCGCGTCCCCAAACCGAAGCAGGTAGTTTTTTTATGTTGTCACCTAAAGTCTTTGACCTAAGGGTCTAATCCAAAAGGCAGTGAAGCAACTCTTATTGGTTCACAAAATATTCATTTTTTAATTTCATTTCTCGGTGATATAATAGTGCACAACAAGCGACAGTGCAGTAATATATATTATGTGAATCAATATACTTTATTTATTTATTGGTACAATGAGGCACCAAATAGATATGCGCCACATAAATCATTCGATTTGTGTGAGGGCTGTGATACTACCCGGGTGCCCAGACCGAAGCAGATGGTTTTCTTAGAGGGCCACACCCCGAGCCTTTGACCTTAAGGTCTGACCCACAAGGCAGTGGAGCATCGTGAGGAGATGCAGTCCCATGGTAGCCGGTGACCAACGATTGGTTTATACGCCATTTGTTCCCTCAGGATACTGAAGCCCATGTGCACCATTGATTTGTGATCCGGTTAAAGCGCCGGACATTCGCTTTTCGTCCTCTCATTTGCGTAAACAACACCCCCGCCACGAAAATGCCGTGTGTAGGACTTCCCTGGCAAAGGCTGTATACGCGTGGCCGTGTGAGAGCACTTAGAGAGGGAGGTCTAATATCATTAATAATTAAACATCCTTTAATTTCATTCTCTTCTTATGAACCATATTCTCTTTTCATAGTTTACTAATGTCTTTGGTATCATTATCGTGATTTTGTTTTAATCTGGTTGGCTCTTTACTGCCGTGCTAGTATGAAGTCGATACACCTAGATTCTATGTTTTAAATCACGTGACTGAGAGACTGAAATCATTTATGTATAGCATTTTATTGCTTAAACACTGATCTATTATAATGTCAATATCAAGGTATATAAAGTCCCAGTGTGAGCAATTTTCCGCTTTCAGTTGACCTTGCGCTTTACTAATTAATTTGTTTTGCTAAAAAGACCGGGTCACCGAATTAGACTCATCCTTCCCTCACTACTTACTCCCCTTCCTAACTAGCTCCAAAATTAGGTAAAAAATTCTCATTGTTAATGAGTATGAGTTGCGTCTATTTATAATATGATAGCGTTTGCTGTGTATTACAATATGTCCAACACAATATTTATTTTTGCTTATTTGTAGATAATGAAAGATATTTTCTTATTTCTTCGCGGTTTACCAAGTTTGGTAGACATTAAAGTCCCAGAACAGTCTAAGTTTACTGTTTGTGGGGATATACACGGTCAGTTCTACGATCTTATGAACATATTCAAAATTAACGGGCTTCCGAGCAAAGATAATCCTTACGTAAGCAATATTACTTTTAGGATTTGTTTCTCTAGTTGTTCAATGGTGACTTTGTTGATCGGGGATCGTTTTCCGTGGAGTGTATTTTCACCTTGTTCGGGTTTAAGCTTCTCTATCCAGACAAGTTTTATCTTTCCAGAGGTGAGCAGTTGGTATTAAATCAGATATTCTATGCTCTTATAATTTTCGGCTTCATATACTTATGTATATGTTTAATTGTCCCAATAGGTAACCATGAATCCGAACACATGAACAGACTTTATGGCTTTGAAGGTGAGGTAAAGTCAAAATATTCTTCTGAAGTGGCCAATATGTTCACGGATATATTCAACTGGTTACCTCTATGCCATCTGATTAACGAAAGAATTCTGGTAAGCGATTTACATACGTCATTTTTCCATGTTCAAATAATTGTCTGTGAGTTCTTGCTTATTTGTTCGTTTAATTTGAATAGATGTTTGAATGATCGTTTTAACCACATGGTCGAAAACATAATCGAGCAATCAAAAGTATAGCAGAAAATATAACAAAAAATAACTTTTCTTCTCTAAACTTATCTCTGTAACATTGTTTTTATCTGCCGAATATTGGTGTATGTTTCTGTAATACGAAGACTGAGAGTAGTTTGCGCTTGTAGTTGCTCATGGTAGTGAATCATCTTACAAATAAGATTCTGTTTATAATAGTGTTAGAGTTAGATCATGGTATGTTGGTTTTGATTAAATATCGCTTTGCCACAAAGTTCTAGTTGTAGGAGGATGAGCGTACAGTTTTATAGCATAAGATATACGTAGTCCACTGAATCATAATTAAAGCAAATGTCAGTCGCTCTACGTGTTACATTAACAAAACTAAATAAGCTTATTTTAAAAACATCTTATATGAGTGGTTCTTTTCCTATTTGTTTATCTTATTACTATATTATTTTGTTAAGTGTAACCACAAATTTTATGTTTCAAGGAAGTAGCCATTTGTGGTAATTCGTGGTAATCAATAATTCTGTCTAGGACCAAAAATTATTTAGCTGTGCAACTTTTCATATCGGGCTTCAGCGTTACCCATTTGTGAAGTACATTTTTCTGTATTCAGCCTTAAACCACATTATTTGGTTAAAGTTCGGTAATACTACCCAACTAGCTACCCACTCATAAGCAAATGGAGTGAAGTTCGAATCTATAGCCCGTCGGTTAGAACCCGACTGAAGCTGCTACCTTGACGCGATGGTCGGGCTTGCCTATCGTGATGACCCAACCGAGCTATATTGGCTGGAACATATGTTCCTGTAGGTTCTACCATGCCAGGCAGTTCGATTGGAGAACGGTAAGACTAAAAGCAGCAACTCAAGGTCTGAGGGCGAAGTCGTACTGCTGACTGTAGAGAGGTGTGACAGCAGTAAGGTGTTTCCCTCGGACAACCAGCATGACAGCGATGCTGCCTTCCCACAAGGAGGGGTGGGGTTAGAAAAGGTCGACCCTAAAAATATCACACCTCACCTTACCTCACGGATTTCCGTCTCCGGCGGTAAGGCCCTTTGAAGAACGGAACTCAGTCAGTCAGGAAGGATTTGAATGTGACCACCTTGGTCTCTTGTGCTGTTACGGGTATGAGGGCTGATGTCACTTCCCGGCTGCCCACACTGTGGAAGGGTATTTCTTGAGGAACCTGAAAAGGAAATTGGATTAGTGTTGGTATTAACGACCTGGGAGCGTGACCTCAGAGCCCAAGGGACAACTGCTTGAGGCCGGTCGCGCACGGCCTTTTTGTGTAAGGTTTTTGACGTGTTAGCTCCGTTCTTCAAAGAGCCTTACCGCCGGAGACGGAAATCCGTGAGGTAAGGTGAGGTGTGATATTTTTAGGGTCGACCTTTTCTAACCCCACCCCTCCTTGTGGGAAGGCAGCATCGCTGTCATGCTGGTTGTCCGAGGGAAACACCTTACTGCTGTCACACCTCTCTACAGTCAGCAGTACGACTTCGCCCTCAGACCTTGAGTTGCTGCTTTTAGTCTTACCGTTCTCCAATCGAACTGCCTGGCATGGTAGAACCTACAGGAACATATGTTCCAGCCAATATAGCTCGGTTGGGTCATCACGATAGGCAAGCCCGACCACCGCGTCAAGGTAGCAGCTTCGATCGGGGAAGAACGGAACTAACACATTAAAAACCTTCCACGAGAAGGCCATGCGCGACCGGCCTCAAGCAGTTGTCCCTTGGGCTCTGAGGTCACGCTCCCAGGTCGTTAATACCAACACTAATCCGACTTCTTTTTCAGGTTCCTCAAGAAATACCCTTCCACAGTGTGGGCAGCCGGGAAGTGACATCAGCCCTCATACCCGTAACAGCACACGAGACCAAGTTGGTCACATTCAAATCCCGACTAACCCTTCTCACGTCCTTTTATCACCTCGCACCGCTAGGGCAAACGATTCGAGTACGTGGAACGCTATTCCTGGTCTCCTGAAACCACGCTCTAAACTACACGTAGGAGCTTTTAACGTACAAACACTTTGCCAAATGAGACAGCAGGCTTCCTTAGCTAAGACTTTAGAATCTCGCGCCATCGATGTGTGCTGCGTCTCCGAAACGCGCATTCAGGATTCGAGTAGCGTCATTCATTTGACATCACCATGTCAAAACAAAAAACCAACTCGATTCACACTTCGTGTATCTGCAAGCCCAGATGCTTCTTTTGGTGGACTCGCCGGCGTAGGTATAGCATTGTGTTCTAGGGCAGAACTAGCTCTCTTAGAGTGGATCCCATTTCCCACTGACTGCAGCTCAGATGATGTAAGAAATGAGTTTTACAGAAAGCTTTCCGACCTTCTCCGAAAAGCTAAGCGCTCGGATGTAGTCATAGTGGCTGGTGACTTTAATGCTCAAGTAGGTAAACTAAGCGAAAGGGAAAGACACCTGGGTGGATCTTATAGTGTCGTGGCTCAAAGAACAGATAATGGCGACCGTCTGTTACAGTTATGCTCAGATAACCGCCTGTTTCTTGCAAATACTAACTCTAAGCATAAGGAAAAACATCTTTTACAATGGCGACCCCCTAATTCATCCCAACGTTGGACCCAAATAGATCACATTGCTATCAGCCACCGATGGAGGGGCTCAATAGAAGACTGTCGCTCGTTCTGGAGCACATGCTTAGATTCAGATCATGCTCTAGTGCGAGCGCGTATTTGCCTGCGTCTTACTGGACGTAAGAAAGACGATGCAAGGAAACCTCTTAGGGTCCTATTTAATGATAGTCAAACTAAGAGTATATTTCAGGAACAACTAGGCAGTCATGTATGTGATGCCCACCCCGAGGCAGCATACAATGATATCCAAAAAGCTGTAGAAACAGCAGTGATATCTGCTAGTACGGTAAACCGTAAGGTTAGGGAGCAACACTGGATCTCAGCAACATCTACCGCACTGATAGATGCTCGGAAACTCATTCCACCTGGCTCTGAACATAATGAAGAGCGGAGTCAGCTTAAGCGCAAGCTGACAAGAAGTCTACGCAATGATCGTGAACAGTAGTGGGTAGCAAAAGCAAGAGAGATGGAAAAGGCAGCGGCAATAGGTAATAGCAGACAATTGTTCAGACTTATTAAGGAAACTGACTGTTAGCAAAACACTCTCAGAGAAAGATGGACTTATACATTCTCAATCTAGGAGGTTGGATCGATGGGCAGAACACTTTAGAGATCAGTCCAACTGGCCTTCAGCCACACATCGGTTTCCCACGACCTCCAGTCACTTTGAATGGCAAGTTAATGTAGGTCCTCCGTCTCTACGAAGTTGAAAAAGCCATAGGAAATCTGAAGCGAGGGAGAGCAGCAGGCCCTGACAGGTCTACTCCTGAGATTATTAAGGATGGTGGTCCAGTATTAGCAGTGAGATTAACTGAGGTCTTGGGTAGAATTTGGGAACTGGACGTAATCCCATCTGACTGGTCTCAATCACTGATTGTGCCAGTCTATAAGAAAGGAAAAAGTCCTCTTGTGACAATCACAGAGGAATCAGTTTGACTAATATATTGTCTAAAATATTAGCCTCAATAATACTCCAACGCCTAACTAAAGCTCGTGAAGAGCAGACTAGAGAAAATCAGGCTGGTTTTCAACCTGGACGTGGTTGTATAGACCACATATTCACACTACGTCAGGTCCTAGAACACAGACACACATTCAGACGCCCCACAATTGTAGTATTTCTCGACCTTAAAGCAGCATTCGACTCTGTTGATCGTAAGGTTTTATGGCAGTGTTTGTCACTGAAAGGAGAACCAAAGAAGTATATCTCCAAACACTAATTTTCCCGATTACTGCTTATACTCTTATTACCTCTACCACTACGGGATTTGAATCGACCACTACATCTGTGTGCTAATGTGGTTTGGCAACTCGAACTGATGTACGTACGTACAAAGTTCTACGTTGTTACTGACTGACTGGCCGTCGGTTGGAAACTAACCTCTTTAATTATTAAGCTTTTCTTCAAAACCAAATGTTTGATGCTTATACTTTTATTGGTTGATGCTTAGCCAAGCTATCACCCCAAGTTTATTACACAAATGGTATTTTCTGATAGATCGCGATTATCTATTAGTTCTGTGATTTTCCATGTTCTTACTGCCTATTTATTTCTAGCTGTAAAAATTCATCAGAGAAGTTTATCTCACAATATTCTTTTTTACTTTATTTACAATGTTAACACATTCAATTAGGTTATGCATGGTGGATTGTTCGAACGCGATAATGTTACATTAGATGAAATAAAAAAGGTGTCTCGAAATCGTCAACCTGACGAAGGCACTATAATGTGTGAATTGCTATGGTCTGACCCAATGGAGGCTGAAGGTCGAGCCCATTCTAAACGTGGAGTCGGTTGTCAATTTGGTCCTGATGTCACTGAAAAGTTCTGTAAGCAAAATGGTCTAGACTATATTATTAGAAGTCATGAAGTAAGTGCATTGATCATCAAGTGTTCTGTTTTCAAAATACCCTAAAGTTGCTTGATTTACTCTAAAATTAAAAGTCCAATCTCTTCTCTCTCTAGATCTCAGCGTGATCGTTCATTTGATAAATATAGCAATCCAACATAGTTTAATCTTCGTGTATCTAGAAATCCCGATTGTTCATTGGTGTAGGAGTAGTTTGCAGAAAAGCTAGGGGCTGCCATACTATATCAGTCCTTGAGGCCATTAACTGTTAGTTTGCGCCATGTTATTAGATGCCGACTACCTGATTAGGCTCTGTGTGATAACTGCAATCAGTGGTGCAGTTGCACTCAATTTTTGAATTCCAGTTTCCGTTCATATGTACTCCTCCATTCTGTCTCTCCGAACCCTATTCTCAGTGCTGAGTCATTTTCCTTGTCATTGCTACTACTTTACTATGGTCTCCTCTGCTATGCATCTTGTTAATTTCAACTCGTCTTACTAATGCTGTATGACAAATTAGGTCAAAATATATCTGTGCCAGACTGTACATTGATGATAACTGACTGGGTGATCTTCAACAGCAAACTCGTGGTCTTGTTGGTGGTGTAGGACTAACTTTGAAAATTGGAATAGACAGTTGTCGTTTCGTATTTCAGTAGACGATGAGGGTAGTATATCTTGAGAGGAGCATTCTAGTTAAGAAAATACAGCCAAGAAGAGTTCTTTCAGTTAAAGATATTCCTATAATATTTCTTATAAAAAGGTAAAAGAGAACTACATATGGACTGTCACATGTTTCTATTCTGAGCCATTTTTGATAATGTTTCAACCCACTACTTCGTCTCACCGCCAAGAATGGTTGCAGACACAAGTGTCAACTAGTCTTGCAAAAGTCCTTTACATTAAGACTTTGCAAGTACATGCTATACTGATGGATAATAGTTGTCAGCTCATTACTTATGAACTGCATATCTTGATTATCATCCCACAGTCAAGTAAATCATCTGCATACTGAGGGTCAGAAAGCCTTTTTCCATGTGATAAATTGACACCACTACAATCTACTTGCATCAGGGATGTTCCCAGTATATCATCGATGGTACAGTTAAAGAGGAATAATGAAACTGGGAAACCGTGACCGTGGACCAGGCACATATATGCAACGGTTCAAGTTGCCACACCTCATTAATACATCAAGATGAACACCAAATTCATAGAAGTAGTTACTTCAATGGTAGTAATATATAAAAGAAAGATTGTGTATAAGAATATAATACAGGAAGGAAGAATTAGTTCGTAGAAAGGTCTAAAGTAATTTTAAACTCATCGTTTATGAGAAGACAAAGAGTGTATACACCTACTTCATTGTGATCGGTTCTGAACCATGTCACCCAGAGTCTCTAGCCACTGGTTACGACAGTCGCGCGGACCCCAACCAAGTAGTCAGCATCTACACCAACATGGCTCAGACCAGAAGTTAATGACTTTATGGACTGATGCCATGCTTTGGTTTGGTCGCTCCCAACTTTCTTCCATCCGTCTTCAACACTAGTCAGCATTGCGCGTCATGGTAATCGGTGGTTGGGCATGCGTAATACGTGATCCAACCATCTCAGTCAATGAAGACTCACAACCTCATCATCCGATTTACCATCATTCCCTAATACCCCGCGTCTAACCTCACTATTACTTACCCAGTGATCCCAGCAGATGCTGGCAATATTTCTGAGACATTTGTGATCAAATACTAGCAACTTACAAGTATCCTCTACCCTTAATGGCCACGTTTCGCAGCTGTAAGGTAAAATAGAGAGAACGTCTGCGCAGTATATATAGATTGATAGACGGATATCTCGCTCTCGCCATAGGTGACGTAAGTTAGCAAAAGCCAAACGAGCCTTTTGAATCCGTACAAGAGATTTTGTCAAACACCAATCCATTAGGGCTGATCGAACTTCCAAGATTAATGAAGTTGTCGATGCGGTCGACTACTTCATTCCCTATCTTTAGTTCAGGTGTTGACACAGACCAGTCCTAAAGCAACAACTTTCATTTAGAGGGAGAGGAATGCATTCCAAACTTCATGGCATTGTTGCTCAATGCTACTGAAACACTGCATTTTATCAGCGTCTTCATCAAACAGAACTATGTCATCTGTGTGGACCTCCTGGAAGGAGATCAATTCCTGAAAATTCAGTCGACGTGAACGTTATTTCTAACGGTAGGTCTATGACAAAAGTGAGCAAAAATGGAGATAGTGGACAGCCTTGTCATACATCACTTAAGGTTGCAAGATCAGATGACAGTTCTCTATAAGCTCTAACTCGGCCGGTAGTGTTTCAGTAAAGAGCCTTCACATGGATTATATACTTCTGAGGTACACCTTTTAATGATAGACACCATTACTGGAGGCATTCGTGCGCAAGACCGAAAGTCCTGGGTTCGAACCCCGTGTGATAGCCCAAATGCCCTGGTACGGTCAAAGGTGTGGAGAGTATGGTCTCACATAACCGTGTGTATACAGCCACTGTCATAGAGATCCTACTCACTGCTTTCTCGCTATGGAGGTGTTGTTTACGAAATTGAGACCATGAAAAGCGAATTTCCGGCGCTTCAACAGGATCGGTGGGTATGAAGGATCTACATAGGGGAGTTGTAAAACCCTGATTCCAAACTAATGGTGCACATTGGCTCCAGGATCCTGAAGGAACAAAAGGCGTATGAACCTACTCTTGGTCACCGGCCACTATTGGACTGTATCTCCTTACGTTGCTCCACTGCCTTGTGGATCATACCTTTAGGTCGAATGCTCCGGGTGTGACTCCTCAAGAAGACCACCTGCTTCGGTTTGAGCACCTGGGAAGTATCGCAGCCCACACGCAAATCAAGTGACTTGTGTGGCGCATATGTATTTGGTGCCCCTTTGTACCAATATTTGTGTTCAAATAAATAAATAAAATTACTGAAATAAAACAATAGGAGGAGGCGGTTTTATGATCACACTCTCCTTGAGTTGTTTGTATTCAGAGCTTTCAATGTATCAATAAGCTTCTCACACACACCTTCCTTCAACAAATAATCCCATAGTTTACAATTCTGTTCTGCGGATTGAAGTCGGTCCTGATATCAATAAACACAATTATCATTGGCCTCCAGTAGGTGTGGCGGTGTTCTGAAATTTGGTGGTGGGTAAAGATATAATCAGCACACCGATGATCATAACAAAGGCTGACCTACTAATCGCGAGACAATATTTCACGGATTTTGAAAAGTCAGTCAAGTATGACAAAAACCAATAGTTTGGATGCAGTATGAAGTAACTTTGTCCCTCGATAGTTGTTACTTGAATGATGTCGGTCCATTTTTAAAATAAAAGGGGCTGTCGCTTCATTCAAGGATGTTGGGACACTCTCACTACCTGACTTTTCCTAACATATTCGATCGATAGGTTTCTTTGAGGGATAGTTCAGCTGGTGTGCTGCCCCAACAAAGATCCTTTAGGACCTTCCATTAGGGAAGTCAGTCACCAACCATGGGGGACAGAACAATCTCATCGATGTTGTTGGCAAGCACTATCCGTATGTATGGTATGTATTTGGCAAGTACTAAATGTAAAGGACCTTTGCTAGACTTGTAGCAGGCTGCGCCTGCGCTCACTATTGTATATTGCCGTTAGAAGTAGTCGAAAAGTTTTTGTATCCGGGTGGCTGTGTGAGCGATGATGGTGCTGTGATTAATAAGAGTAATTTAAGTATATTGGAAGCCAAAGTGGATCATATCAATCTTGGCTACCATTGGTGCCGTCGTGAGGCTAGTTTGGCTGTTAAATGTCAAGTTTGTTTTAATTTTGACTGTCGGACTGGCTTCAATTTCTTCAGTCGATCTTGAGTTATTAACCTGGGAGTCGTCCATGTTTAAACGTTGGACATGATTTAGCTTCCTAAAGCTGCAGACATTGTTACGAAATCCGGATTTTCGTCAGAAATGTTTACATGTTATATTTTTAGGTGTAATTTTGAGGTTTATGTCGCTAGATAGCTAGATTTTAGCAGGGAATTTACCGCATAGATTTCCAATTGGGTATTATGCGAAATCAATCATGATAATTGTGTACGATATCTGAAAGTTATGAAATAGAGCAACCATCATTTTGGTGTAGGCTTTACATTGGTCTGTGTTGTCTGTTTTGTCCATTTGTAAGAATCGATTAGCAATTTCCTAATAATCTTATTTTTATACAATATGTTCGATAATATTTAAAAGTAATGATATTTATTTACACCCCATGCCTTTCTTTCAAACTGGTTGATTCTGCCAGTTATATTCATCTAACAGTTAGTGGAAATAGTTGCTGTTTTCGATGGTATTAATGCGTACAGTACTTGATTTATATTATGTTATGATTTCAGTTTAGACCTTATTACGTACATAAACCGAGATCTGCATTCTGTGTTGTGAGTCATCCAAGAAATTTTGTATTGTTTTTTAAGGTGAAAGATGAAGGTTACGAAGTTGCTCACAACGGTCGCTGTATTACTGTTTTCTCAGCTCCTAATTACTGTGACACAATGCATAATCGAGGAGCTTTTATTACATTGATAGGTAGTAATAAACCCGGTGAAATGTCTCCAATGTTTACCAGCTTTACAGCAGTAGCTCATCCAGATGTGCGCCCAATGGCTTACGTAAATCCATTACTTTCCATGTTTATGTGATTTGTACATTGCTTTTTCTTATTTTGTGCCTTAAAATGGTTACTGAACATTGATAGATGCATATTTAAATAAACACACATATATACAGTTAACTTGATCAATGTATCAACTGTTCATTGTACACATTATATTGTCAAAATTCTCACGTAACATTTTCTTACTCATTTTTGATGGGCTTAGTTTTGAGTCAAGGATTCTCATGTCTGCATTTTTAATTCCATTGTAATAAAGTTACTTTGGGAAAATGTAAAAAAATTTAATCACATTCTTATTACTATTAATATGATTATTTGTTATTGCTACTACTACTAACACTGATACCATTGTTTGAACTTGTGACGGCTATTTTTCCATTTAGTCAGACTACCAGTTCTCATTCATTTTAGGGTTAATTTTGCAAGTATATTAGAAGAAATCATTAAGCTTCATTTATTTTATCGTCTTACTGTATCGTGTTTGAATAAAAATTGTGGGAAATTATTACTATTAAATCTATATATATCTAGCATTGTTCCAGTCTAATTTTTTCAACCTAATCGTCTTGAATAAATTAAAATGAGGAGTTTAGAAGATAATTAATTTTCGTATTACCTTGCTTAGTAATGAGGATATTTTGTATATTGAAGCATTTTAATCTGAAAATAATAGTGTTCACATCGTACATCATGATAGTTCTTGCATATTACATTTAAGAAAGTGTATTGCTGTACTGTTTAAAATCTTACCGAATAAGGTTCAGAACTTAAGGGGTTTATAATCAAGCAGTCAATACTCGTTGTTCCTGCATGAACCAACTGAATACGAGGGCAAGTAAAAAAGAACTAGTAAAAAGGCCGTTTATGGAATATGTTCCACGTGATTCGTTCCCAATTGTGTATATGTCTTTGATTCTTGTATGCACAATATAGCGTTTTGTGGCAGTCATTCATCTAAGCTGAGTTCACGCACGAATAATTTACTCATAGTATTAACCATCTAATGTAATGCAATCATAATGCTTGTTTATTGTTTGTTCTCAAAAATCTAAACAACGAGGTTTGCGAGATAAAATGAATCCATTCTATTTCACGGCTTCTCATCAGTTGCATACAACCTAAAACTACAATTACTAATATAAATATAATTATTAATAAATGTTTAGCATACTTTAGTTTGTGAAGTTTAGATAAATTTTCGCAATGTATCCGAACTCATAATAAGAAGAATAGGTACACAAAGTGTTTGAATAAACGTAGTTGGTATTGGAGACGTAGTTAAAAAAATTAACAAACGTTATTGGACACATGGCAGAGAAAGGCTTCTAGGTTACTCAGTTACTTCAACAACTCTCATCCCAACATAACGTTTACGATGGAATATAAAAGAGAACCAACACAATTTTTAAGTGTAAGACGGAAAAATGATGGAAGTTTTAAGGAAAGTATATATAGAAAAAAACCATGGATAGGACAGTATTTGACAGTTTTAGCCCTATCAGTTACAAAAATTTTCTAGTAAAAACGCTCTTCAATAGAGCTAAGATGTTATGCTTAAACGGAAAAATAAATGAGGAATTGGCTATTCTGGAAAAGCATCTTATAAAAAATGGATACCCGAGAAAATTTAGTACGGAAAAGAATATTCCAAGGATGATTAACAACCATCTATCGTAAATAAACCTGTCTTCATCAGCCTTCTGTTCAAGGAAGGTGATGTTTCAGGAAGAATCGACTGGAGATTGAAGGCGTCACCGAAAAGATACTTCCCTGCTGCTCAACTGTTTCACCATACAACACCAAGTGTTCGTTTTACCATTCAAAGATAGATCAATACTCTCCCGATGTCACTTCCAATTGCATTTATAAATTTACATGTACCTGCTGCTGCAGGTACATAGGAAGGACAAAGAGGACTTCTACAAAATTTTCTTAACACACTCCTTGTAACCTATAGCTAAGAGGAATTGAAGTGTTTACAAGTGCAATTGCCAGACATCTCGATAGTGGACATGAATAGAATGTAAGTGATGCATTCAAACATTATTGTTCTTGCTCTGTTTAAAAGTATTATATATTTTATTTACTCTTAATAGGGCGGTAAGTTCTTCGAATTCCTGATTGAAGGCTTATTCGAAATATTTTCAGCACAAATATTATTTTGACCATGCATTGATATCAACTGAAGAAATGATAAATTCTGGTAGAATTAGGCATATGTTTATTTATTTATTTGAACACAAATATTGGTACAAGAGAGCGCCAACATATATGTGCCACACAAAACAATGAGAATTCGAAGAGAAATAGAAAAAAAAAGAGAACAATAACGAAGAGACTGGTGTAAGGTAGTGTGGTAGTAATGAGGTAACGCAAATGTACAATCGGAAATCTTTCAGGTAAGGGAGACACAACCACTTTTTATGAAGAAAGTAAAAGAAGATTACAGCAGGATCGCCACTGGCTTCTATTCTGAGCCATATCTGATAACGTCTCTAGCCACTGTGTTGCACCATCTCTCGGACCCCAACCAGGGAGTCGTGAACGACCAACACAAGCAAGCCCTTTGCAGCTTTCTTTCATACCACGACACCATCTCATGCACTGACCACCTCTCCGCTTCTTCCAACCAGTCCCAGAGTCGGCAAATAATGCACAACGTGGAATTCTCTGGGACGACATTCGGAGAACATGACCAAGCCACCAAAGTCGGTGTTTCAAGATGGTGACACCAATCGCATTATCGTCTCTGTGCCCGAACACACGATGCCGAACCTCTGCATTGCTGACATGATGTTGCCACTGAATGTCTGCAATCCTTCGGAGACAGCGATGATCGAACACAGAGAGTCGTCTAACATCCTCAACTCGGAGAGACCAGGTTTCACAAGCATAGAGCAAAACTGCTCTCACCGACGCGTTGTAGATCCGACCTTTTACAGCCAGACTAACATCACGAAGGCGCCAAAGATGGCCCAGATTGGCATAAGCCGCTCTGTCTTTCACTATACGTGCATTGATCTCATCACTCACATCCCCACCAGCACTTATGCAACTACCCAGATACACGAACTTCTCGACTACTTCTATCTGCTCACCATCCAGGGTGAGTACAGGATTGGAATCCTGCCAGACTTGTAGAAGTACTTTGCACTTCGAAGGTGCAAAGCACATACCATACCTACGGACACTGATTGCCAACTGATTAAGTGCGTATTGCATGGCTTGGGCATTATCTCACAGTAAGACAATATCATCTGCATACTCAAGGTCGAGAAGTCTTTCTCCAGGCAACAGACCCACACCGCCATTACTTACATCCATCAGAGCTGTTTCCAGAATGTCATCGATGGCAAAGTTGAAGAGGAATGGTGAGATTGGGCAACCCTGCCTAACCCCACTGCTCGAATGGAACAATGGAGAGAGGTGGTTGTATGCCCTCACTCTGCCTGAGGTGTTTTTATATAGGGCTTTTAGGATGTTAATAAACTTCTCAGACACACCCTTCTTCAATAGACAATCTCAGAGAACAGTCCTATCCAACGAATCGAAGGCAGTTCTGATGTCAAGAAACACTACCATTTTTGACCTTTGGTAAGTATGACGGTGTTCTAGCATTTAACGGAGGGTAAAGATATGATCAATACATCCTCGACTAGAACGAAAACCAGACTACCCCTCGCGAGTCAATCATTCTCGAGTTTTGAACAACCTACGAAGGATGATGGAAGCCAATAGCTTGGACGCAATCGGAAGTAGACTTATTCCCCGATAGTTGTTACAGGAACGACGTGAACCCTTTTTAAAGATAGGGACAACTATCGACTCATTCCATGACGTTGGTACACTCTCTAGTTCCCAAACCTTTGTAAACAACGTCGTCAATTCCTTAGTCAAAAAGTCGCCACCATCTTTAAAAAGAGCCGGAGGTAAGTCATCTGCGACAGGTGATTTGTAACGCTTCAAGAGTTGGAGTTCCTTGCGGACTTCCTCCTCGTTTGGTGGATCAGTCGTCACCGGCCATGGAGGGCAGAACAGTCTGACCGATGTTGCCGGAGCAGCAGGCCAGTTGAACTGCCCTTCGAAAAATTCTGCCCATCGTCCAAGACTTCGATGGATGTTAGTGATTGGCATCCCATTATCCTCGCAGATTGTTCCACTCACACCAGACTTCTTGCTGCCAGTGGCTCGGATGAGCTGGAAGAGCTTCCGGTAGTTACCAGATGCAGCTGCTGCTTCCAGCTCATTAGCACGCTTCGACCACCAGGCTTCTCGGTCCTTACGCAAGCTTTGCCCGATTTCCTTACGTAACATCCTTCGTTTGTGGTCAAACTCACGGTCACCCGGAGTAGACCGACGGGCTTCAATGAGTTGTAAGGAACCTGCAGAAACCCAGTGCTTAAAAGCGGGACGTTTCGCAAACCCACAACTGACTGTTCCCGCCATTTTCATGGCGTCATGCAATTGCAACCAATGCTCATCTATACTTTTCGGTGGAGTGGTAGCTAGCCTAGAGGCTAGCTCGGTTCGATACTTACTTGCAACAGAAGTTGCAACCAGCTTGCTAACATCAATCTTTTGGTGGTGGTCAATTCGTTGTCCACTGAAAAGTAAGGCAAGATTGGCACAGACCAAAGCATGGTCAGAGTCCAGATAGGTACTCCAAAAGGAGCGGCAGTCTTGTACACAACCACGCCAGCGGTAGCTGATCGCGATGTGATCAATCCGAGTCCAGGCTTGAGATGCAGAGGGAGGACGCCAGGTGGCACATCGGCGATGACTGTGCCGAAAGTTAGTGCTAGCCAGAAACAGGTTGTGGTCTGTGCAAAGTTGCAGTAGACGGTCCCCGTTATCTGACCTGCGACCAACGAGTCCCCATCGGCCACCTAAACGACTCTCTTCTGTGCCTAGACGCCCGACCTGAGCATTCAAGTCTCCGGCTAGTACCACAATATCTGTGGAACGCACTTTCTGGAGAAGAACAGATAACTGGTGGTAAAACTCATCCTTGATTGCATCCGGGCTGCAATCTGTCGGGGCATAGGCGGAGATGACGAAAAGACATCGTTTCTCACGCCGGTTTCTTCTCACTTTGATGGAACTTTCTAATCTAACAGCACATAACCGACTGTTAATGGGGATCCAATCGACTAGTGCTGCCTCAGCTCTAGCGCTTAGTGCGACACCAACGCCTGCAAGACCAGACGAAGATGCCACAGGGTCCCCGGATAAGCGCACGTAAAACAAGCTTTTCGAAGCGACAGATGGAGATCGAATTTGTAGTACTTCACCAGAGTCTTGAATACGGGTCTCGGATAGACAACAAACATCGATATTAAGACTTTCCAAAGACATAGCCAGCCCTATCTGTTGTCCGACCTGCATAAATGTGCGAACTTCGAAGGCAGCCAATAATGACAATAATAGTAGTAATAATAATAATAGTATTAATAATGACAATAATTGTAATGATAATAGTTTGAATCAATTGCTTGTTTTTCGAAGCGAGAAAAGTGATTCCATAGGCATAGAGAGTTCATCAATTTGTGTGTGGGCTGTGATACTGCCCGGGTGCCCGAACCGAAGGAGGTGGTTATCTTAGGGGCCCACTCCCCGAGCCTTTGACCTTAGGTCTAACCCACAAGGCAGTGGAGCATCGTGAAGAGATGCATCCCATGGTAGCCGGG